TACTACTATTATTATATTCATTATTTTTATCTTTTAGATTAGTCGCTTTTCCTAGGTCATTTGAGTTCTGGATTCTATTCTTTGGGATAAAAAAGAATCATTCAATACATTTTGACTATAATCCATAACAACTGGACCATAATAATCAAAATTACAAGCATTCAATCTCACATTCAATATTTCCGATTCCTCCAAGATATTTTCATATTCATTCCTATTACCTGTGTCAATAAAAATAAGGTTACGATTATAAGACAATTCCGAGTTGATAAACTGTGAAATGTCTTTGCATACGTCTTTTCGACTGTTTTTAATGCCCTTTCTCGAGTTGTAATCAATAAAGCATAATTTTCCCTCACTATAACCTGACAATTTACAAATAAGTCCGTATAACCTTTTATTGACCTCAAAAATTTTATTATTCCTAGATGCATAACCATTTATGTAAGGCACTGATAGGACTCCAACATTGGTATGGGTACAACTCTTTAATCCTGATAGAATGAGCCCAAAAGATGGTTTCCTATTCATAGCCAAATCATTTGAACCCAAAATCAAAATTACATAATCTCTGAAGGTAAATTCAACAGTCAGCATATTTATGTCTTCAATAACACTTTGTGCAGGGGCACCCGGTTTGAATATATTTAAAACATCGTACTCACAATTATTAGGACTTTGACCTAGAAATTTTTCCAAGTCCCGACCATTATCATCACTTAATATGAGTATCCTTGGCTGCTTCTTCTTCCTACAACCTCCGTCAGCTGTGTCATAATTTGGGCGCTCCTGATATTTCGCCCCTTTTTTTCCTGCTGCCTCTAATACTGGATGAGCCTCAAGGGAAACCAAACTTTCAGAGTGGCAGGATGGCTGTTGTCCTATTGCATGCTGCTTAAGCTCATCTCTCAGCCTCCCAATCTCCGCAACATAAAAATCACTCTGAGCCTCCAGTGCTCTCATGGAATCCACCATTTGTCGGTTTAGTTTGGAGTTTTCAAGAACCTCAGCCTTAAAAACAATCTCAGCTTCCTTGAGAGTTTGAAGCTCTTCTTGGTGTATCCTAGAAGCTTCATTCAGTGAGAGCAGCTCCTGATTAAGTTTATGAATAACCTCCCGCTGGTGGCTGATCTTTGCCTGATATTCCTTCTCTGATTCCAAAGCATCGTCATGAAAGCTCTGTGATTTTCGCATCTCTACGCAGAAAACTTTCTTTGGCATCGAGCTGTTGAACTAGCTCTAGGTTTTGTTTTTTCAATGTCTGATCTTTTTCTACATAGCTGTCGTGAAAACTTTCCAGGGCTTCTTTAGCGCGCTGAAGTTCCATTTGTGATTCCTGAAACTTCTGTTGCAGAGCCAGTTCAGAAGCCTTTTGGTAATCTTGCTCTTGCTCACACTTTTTCGAACATAAAATGCGATGGCCTCCTATTACTTTAACCGAATTTCGGCGATCCACACAGCTCTGAGGATAGATTTCTGTGCATACAATGCAGACAAAAAATTTCAAATCCTTGTTCTTGCAACATTTAAATTTAGCATTCTCAGCCATTATTATGTGAAACGAAAATTTATTTTAAAGTATTTGAAGCGCACCGGTATGGTATGGAATGTTTGTTTATTTTAGCACTAACTAAACTGAGTATTAAGTTTTTAATTTACAAGACACTACGTAAATCATTTAAACTTATTTTTTTGGTTATCAGCATACTTAAAAAATTTACAATAAAAAGACAGAAAACACGGCAATTTTTGAAAACTTTTAACACATAAAATGAGCAAAAATGATGAGCTAACAGAACTCGTTTCCGCGCATTTTTAATACTTCCATGATACAAATTATTGAATTTTTTTTTTTTAAATTATGCTAAGCGCCGCTCTTATGTGAAATAACGACAATTCCAGTGCCAGAGTAAAGGAGAGCGAGAACGTTTTTTGATAGGGTTCCACATTCATCCCTTGACAGGGTGAATAAAACTTTCTTTATCAACATTGTGTTTATTTTTTTCCAAAATCGGTACAGTTTTAGGGCATTTATGGGTTGAAAATATGAAAAAATTTGCTTCAAATTGAGCTTTAATTTTTTTTCTGAAGATTTTCGATAGGGTTCCACATTAATCTTTTGATAGGTGATTAATACTTTCTTTATCAACATTGTGTCAATTTTTTTCCAAAATCGGTACGGTTTTAGGGAACTTGGCCCTTATGCGTTGAAAATATGAGAAAATTTGCTTCAAATTGAGCTTTTATTTTTTTCTGAAGATTTTCAATAGGGTTCCACATTCATCTTATGATAGGTGATTAATACTTTCTTTATCAACATTGTGTCCATTTTTTTTTTCGAAATCGGTACGGTTTTAGAGCACTTATGGCCCTTATGGAATAAAAATATGAAAAAATTTCCTTCAAATTGAGTTTTTATTTTTTTTCTAATGATTTTCGATAGGGTTCCACATTCATATTGTTCATAATATTACTTTAATAGCATTTTGTCGATATTTTTTTGAAATCGGTACGGTTTAAGGGCACGAGTTGAAAATATGAAAAAATTTGCTTAAAATTCAGTTTTTAATTTTTTTTTTCTGATGATTTTCGATAAAGTTCCACATTTATCTTTTGACAGGTGATGATAACCTTCTCCATCAACAATGTGTCTACTTATTTTCAAAATCGGTATGGTTTTAGGGCAGTTATGGTCCTTATGGAATGAAAATATAAAAACATTTGCTTCAAATTAAGTTTTTATGTTTTTTCTGATGATTTTCGATAGAGTTCCACATTCATCTTTTGACAGGTGATTAATACTTTCTTTATCAACATTGTGTCCAATTCTTTTGAGAAATCGGACGGTTTTAGGGCACTTATGGCCCTTATTGGTTGAAAATATGAAAAAATTTCCTTCAAATTGAGCTTTTATTTTTTTCTGAAGATTTTCGATAGGGTTCCACATGAATATTTTGATAGGTGATTAATACTTTCTTTATCAACATTTTGTCAATTTTGTTTCCAAAATCGGCACGGTTCTAGGGCATTCATCGCCCTTATGGGTTGAAAATATGAAAAATTTTGCTTCAAATTGAGCTTTTTTTTCTAAAGATTTCCGATAGCGTTCCACATTCATTTTTTGATAGATTATTACTTTCTTGATCAACATTGTGTCCTTTTTTTTCGAAATCGGTACGGTTTTAGGGCACTTATGCGGCCCTTCTGGAATGAAAATATGAAAAAATTTGTGTCAAATTGAGTTTTTTTTTTGTGATGATTTTCGATAAAGTTTCACATCCATCTTTTAACAGGTGATTAATACTTTCTTTATCAAAACTGAGTGTTCAATCTTCACATTTAGTGCAAAAAACACGCTCATTTTACAACTTGTTACATAAATAGCTATTATTTAATGGTTTTATTAATTCATTTATCCTCAGTTATTTATCCACTGTCACTTGAGCGTCAAATTTTGTTCAATATTTTCTTCTATAATACAGAAGAACAATTAAAAAAGCCTTGCAAACGAGTTCTAATGTTATTATTCGAGATTTTTGACCCCTAATTAGTCGAAATCGATTCCCCACATGCAATATCCGAAAAATAAATAATGTTGCATAAACAAAAGTGAACAATATGTTTAAACAATTAATCAAAGTGGCGACTTGGATCAGGATTGCTTTTGTATGGGTCAGCATGACTTTCCGTCCTTTTTATCAATTTCCAATCTAAATTTTATTTGGCATTGGCATCTGGTGAGCCTGTTTTGTGCTTTTTTAACAGCTCGAGTGAATTGTTTAAACAAATAAAATGACAGTTCTGGGGTAGTGCTACGGGCCGAATCAATTGTTATGGTTCAAAGACCAAGTGTACCAAAATTCATGCTTTTAACACAATTTGCCGTTTTTTTTCATGTACCGCTAGGACTAGTAGTTAGTTTAGATTAAATTTTCAATTTCCCCTTTTAATTTGTTGAGGATTATTCATAATGAACAAATTCTTGGGTTGTAGAACAAGGATCGTGGAAGAATGAAAACTATTTCATTTCGGCAACATTTAAACCTCGGTTTCGACTTTAATCTAGTCTTTTTCAAGCCCTAAAATAGGACACATTGGGCCTTTTCGGGTTTGGAAAAAGGAGGGTTCTAGAAGGGTTCAAAACAATCGCACATTTTATTACTGAAAATTGTGATATCCCAGTTGTTGTCATTTTGTTGTTGTACTGTCCGATTGTTTTGCACGGTTCTACAACCGTCCTTTTTCCAAACCCGAATAGGCCTAGAGAGTTGGCGCCGAATGGCATTACAAAAGTCAATCAAAATTAAATCAAAATCAACACTCATTCAACAATTTTTGGTTTTCTTGATCCACTCAACTTCAGTGCAGCAGATCAGTTTGACTGAACTAAAAGACCAGGTACCTCAAGATAAGAGTTCACTAGTTTACACAATTCCATGTGAATGCAATAGAATATATGTGGAACAAGCCTTTAAAAAAAATTGATGATGGTGGGGTGGCTCCAAGACGAAACGTCGGATCTCAAATTTGATAATGCCATATTGTAGAGGAGAAAAAGTGGCAACGATGAATTGTGAAGTATCTCTTCAAATAATCTTAGGAAAAAATAAAAACGATTTTGATAAATTTCGGTTTTTTCGGATATATCCGGAAATATTTGGAATTTCTCAAATTACGAAACGGCGTTCTGTTGAGCATCAAATAACGCAACTTTTCCATAATTTAACCAACTTCGTATCTCTTAGAGTTTCCTATATCTCATGCACTCGAATTTGTAGCACCCTGTATAGGAGTAGGACAAAAAGTCTAAATTTAAATAATATTTTGAAACAAAAACTCTCACACAATTTTGTATGGCTGGAGTCCTTTTTTCATACAACATAGTTTTTCCTAACTGGTTATATAAACAATAATTGCTATTATCATTATTACTACTTATTAACATTTCTCTAAAGAAAATTGAGGGTTTATTCTCATCTTAATTCAAATGCTTTTTTTAGTATGTGACAGGACTAATGTTCCTCTGACAACTATCCAACTTCATCCCGATGGTCTTATTTTTGGAACCGGCACTGCTGAATCTCAAATTAAAATTTGGGATTTGAAAGAACAAACCAACGTAGCTAATTTCACTGGTCACACTGGACATATAACGTCGATTGCCTTCTCTGAAAACGGGTATTATTTAGCAACAGCCGCAAGTGACTCTTGCGTCAAACTTTGGGATTTGCGTAAATTGAAAAACTTCAAAACGGTACAATTGGATGAAGGATATCAAATCAAGGATCTCAGCTTCGATCAAAGCGGTACCTATTTGGCAATGGCTGGAACTGACGTCAGGTAATAATTTTTCAAACAAGTTGAAATAATATTAATACAGGGTAAAAAAGAAAAATTGATTTTTGGCAGTTTTTTCAATTTCATATTTAATCTTGTTTTTTTTGAAGACCCAGTTGTCCCTGAACACCCCATTGCTTTTCTTCTGTCTCGAAACTACCAACTACCCCTCTATCCCATTTGCTAATCTACCATTTATTTGGTTGCATTGATATTCACCCTGTTTACTCATCTGCTTTCTTGTTGTGTCTCATTTTCTTGCACTTGGAGTGTCTTTATCTTGCCTAGATCTTCTCACCAAATTTTGGTTGTGTTGATTATAAATAATAGCCCAATTATAGCATCCCCTAATCTGCCAGCTCAGACAATAATTTATTCAGGGTATTTTCTCAGTATTTCTCTTAACATGTATGTATTTGTTTCAATGACACTTCGATTTAAATGAAAATTGCATTCAAATATTTCTCACAAATTGTGAGTAAAGGCCATCCCAGACAAATTTGCATAACGCATAGCATGGCGCATAACCGCACGTAATGGTCTATGCAAAACCAGACAAAACACACAAAACCTAAACCATAGGGCGTTCGACCAATCAAATTAAGGCAATCTTGTCATCCATCAACATTTATTTTGTAGGTTATGAGATGTGTTGTTTTTGTTTGTTCCGTTATGTGTTTATTTGATTGCAAATTTTGATTTTTTAATTTTTTCACTGTTAATTAGGCACTTGAGGTTTCGTTAGTTTAATTGTTTTCATAACAAAAACATGAATATTATTAAATATAATCATGTCATGTCAAAGTCAAAAATCACGTGACTTGCAGCGACGTATTTTGATTAGCCGCGCATTGCACAGCTCCATAAGTTTTTCATTTTTATGGAAAATCTTATGCAAAAGCCGGGGGGCGGTCAACTTCCTCAAAATGTGTACACCGATTTAAAATCACTCTAACTGATTTAACAGATTTGATCGGATTTAAGAGATTTTTATTCAAACCTTAACTGATTTAAGGTGATTTATGGTAATTTAAAGATTTATTGGATCACTTAAAAAGATTTGAGCTGATCTAGGAAGATTTAACCTGATTTAGGAAGATTTAACCTGATTTAGGAAGATTTAACCTGATTTAAGAAGATTTAAATGGATTAAAGATTTTTTTAAGATTTGAACCTCGATTTGAACTGATATAACCTGGGATAATTCAAGGTAATTAATTTAATCCCGAGAAGATGAAATTGTATCTAATAACCAGATATTTTAGTGCTAATGGGTACTTTTGCTCTCATAATTATCCAATTTAAATTTTGAACTAATAAAAAAAATTCTACAAGTGATAAAGTTTGTGAGGCTTTTGCGGCCCAGGTTTATTGATAAGGTGTTTTCATTCGGGCTTAATACCCATTGTAAGTTGGAATTTCTTCCTTTTTCTTAGGAAGAAATTCCAACTTACGACGGCCATTTAGCCCGAATGAGAACACTTTATCAGTTCTAAAAGTGCCACCAAAGTTAACTAGTCTTGGTACACAATGCAATTAAATAATTAAAACTTGAATTTGAATTCACAAAAAATTTGAAGATTCTTTCTGTGCTGCCAACAAAAACACACATGCGCAAACCGCAAACGAATATAAGCGATTGCACCTCGAGGTTTCGCGAGTTGGAGTCACACAAAGTTTGCGCGGGATTTTAACCATTTTTTTATCGATTTGAAATGATTTATGGAGATTTATGAAGATTCAGGGTTGGCATAGAATTTCCCCAGGTTATAAGACCCAGTGGGGTTTTTCGGGTTTTTTCAATTGATAAAACCCACCATTATTGGGTTTTTGGGTTTCTTCAAAAATAGCAAATTTTCAGTTGAATGAAAGTCATTTTCGCAGGAAATATCCCATATCAGGGATTCCCCGATGATTCTCCAGTCCCCGGCTGTTTGCTGTTGGCATTTGGCGTGGAGGTCTGGGCAGGGACTCAGTGCCATGTAGAATTTAGAATTCAACATATCGAATGTGCCGAGTCTATAGAATCCTGTCGATATGTAGAATTCTACATGACACGGAGTCTCTGGGCTGGCTATAGCCGGAGGTGTGGTGCAGTGCACTGATGCCAAGTGTAATTATCTATATCAAGTGGCTTGTTTTATTTTATAAGGATATTTTATGTTTGTAACAAAAGTCATAATTTTTGTAATACTTTTGCTAGAGTAGAAACCGAGGCAGAAACTTTAAATCAAATTTGAAGAAAAAAACGAAAACACCCGAAAAGCACCAAAAGATCCAAAAAACCCATAAAAACCTAAAAAAAAAAAAAACACATAGAAACCCAAAAAAACCCAACGGGTTGGACTTTTTCAAAAAAAACCGGGTTTTTTCCAACCCTGTGAAGATTTATGAAGATTTAAAAGGATTTGAAGAGATTTAACGAGATATAGATAGATTTAACGAGATATAGAAAGCTTTAAAGGGATTTAAACAGATTTAACTAGATTTAAAAAGATTTAAAGGGATTGTAAGAGATTTAAGAAAATTTAAATTGATCTGACCTGATTTAACGTGATTTGATATGATTTATGAAAAAACTAAGGTGATTTAAGGAAATTTATTTAGGGATTTAAAGTGTTCCGGATCTCAGATTTTTAGGGATTTAATTGATTTAGAAAGATTTGAGAGGGATTTAAAGAGATTTGAAGGGATTTAAAGTGATTTGAAGGGATTTAACCTCATTTAATCTGATTTAGAGCAAAACAAGATGATTTATGTGATTTAATAAGGGATTTAAAGTGATTTAAGTCCATTTGTACACCAATTTAACAGAGTTAACCGCCCCCCGGCAAAAGCAATATGGCTGCTCCTATTCAGCTTGTGATTGGTCGAATTCCTTATGCGCCTATGCTATGGAATTATGCAGGTTTGTCTGGGATGGCCTTAAGCAATAAATTCTAGAAAAAACATTGTTGCCAACTGCTTCAAGTGAAATTTCACTAACCGATGTGTTTTATTTCAGGGTATACCTATGCAAACAGTGGCAAGAGTTGAAAATATTCAACGACCACACCGCCACTGCTACTGGTGTGAGATTTGGAAAACATGCAAGATTCCTTGCATCTACTTCGATGGACAGGACTCTTAAGTTGTATGGTTTAGAATAGTTATTTACTTTTATTCGATGAATTATGTACGTAATGTATTATGCATTATAGGCTAACAAGAAGAAGAAAATTTCCAGTAAGGGTGAACTTGTTCAGAAATGTAATTTAATTTGACAATTTGAGAGTTGCCAAACCGTTATATTTTTAGGAAAATTAATTTAAATGTCGGTCACAGCGCAAACTCATCAAAACTGATTTGAACTCTAAAATAAAAAACAATGTTTTTTTTTTTTAAATAAACAATGAAAGACTACAAAACTATTGTCATTATTATCATAAACCAAAAGTAAGTTTTGATAAAAGATTACAAGTTGTAAAGCAAGGTTAGTGCAATTGTTTTTCTGAGCAATTGCAAACAAATGCTGTTTTGGCAAACAACAAGGTGTGCCTTAAGCATAGGATTTGGAACAAAGGACTGAAGAAAAATTGGCAACTTCTCAAGAGTCTCAAAATCGAACTGATCATATTTCTGGTCATTGACATCCTCTTTTCAGTATACCGGGTGACAATGAAACTACTACCCATGGCGGCATTTCTTAACAGCTCGAGATAGAAATATGCAACTCGGTTTGTTGATAGGATGGAAAATTCTGAACAATTTTAATATAAAAACAATTGAATGTCTTTTCCGATTTTACCGGAAATGGCAGTTTTTACGTAAAATACAAACAAATAGGAATTACGACATATTTTTGAGTCACTCTATTTCAAAAACTATCAATTTTTGACATAGGGTATGTTAGACAAAAGTTATTTAAAATTGTTCAGAGAGTCAAAAAAAAAGATAATATACAGGGTGTCCCATTTAAAAAAACAAAGTCAATTCCGGTGAAAGCGGAAAAGACATTCAATTGTTTTTATATTAAAATTGTTCACAATTTTCAACCCTATCAACAAACCGAGTTGCATATTTCTATCTCGAGCCGTTAAGAAATGCCGCCGTGGGTAGTAGTTTCATTGTCACCCGGTATAAGCTTGTAGTTTAGAGAAATGTTGTCATTTGCTTGATAACGACTGTAGATAGACACTCGAAACAATGAACCAAAATATTATCTACCACCTTCAAACTAACATAAAATATTAAAGTGTAAGAAAATTTGAACTGCTGGATAATCATCAAATCGGGATTTAAAAAAATCTAATTCTGTAGGAAATCACCCTCTCATTATTGCAATCAGCTCCCCCATCTATTCTCCTTTTGTGATGTTTTGAAACACATATTACAGTGACTGGCAAAGAGCAATATTTTATTGCCAAGATTTTATAAAACGTGGGACGGAAAATCAGTTAAATAGATACCATGGGACCACTTTCATGCCAAATTCAAAAATGTCGCCTTAAAGTTTTGAAGAAAAAAGTGGTTCAAAATTTGATTCAATGTCTATGTCTCTATGTTCAAAAGCATATAATAGATATCAATTTTTTGGCCTCTTTCCTGGAAAGGATAACGCACACCTAACATGGGATTTTTGGGCTCTATGGATTTTGCCCATTTTTTGATATATTGTAGAGGATTTAATTCTGAACAACCTTTAAATGAGAGGAAATCTTGTAGGTATTACGGTCTTTGAGATATGAGCGTTGGAAGATTAACTTTTTTGCGACTTTTTATGTGGAGAGTATACGAGATACTGGTGATACTGGTGTTTATCAGTCAAAATATTGACAGGTTCACATAAATCAACTTAGGTTAAGGCCGGGACCGCACTGCGGTCAATGTTGGCGCCAGTGCGGTCCCGGCCTTAGCTTATGTTGACATTTGTTAGTGACGTAAAATATGTCGACCTTTCAAAATTTTGACTGATAAACACCAGTTTTTCGTATACTCTCCACACAAAAAGTTGCAAAAAAGTTCATCTTTCAACGCTCATATCTCACAGACCGTAACATCTACAAGATTTCGTCCCATTTAAAGGTTGTTCAGAATTAAATCCTCTACAACATATCAAAAAATGGGCAAAATCCATAGAGCCCAAAAATCCCATGTTAGGTGTGCGTTATCCTTTAAAAAAGAATCAATTTGTTGTTGTTTGGTTTGCATAAAACAAGAAGCAAAAGTGAAAAAAAAATACTAATTAAAAGTCCTTATAGAAAAAAATCTAGAATTATTTTAAAATCTTCCTAAATGGTCCATTAGTCCAAGGAAAATAGGTTTCGATCTCGATTAAATGATGGGGTTCCAATTTTTTAAGGAATGTGTAGGGGATGATGTCCTAAACAACATCTTATAAAGTCCAGTCGATTTCATGCGCCGTGGGGTGGAGCTTAGAGGGGCGACCAAAAGGTCACTTTTTTCAGTTTTTGTCTTTTATCTCGAGAATGGTGTGTCCCACAGAAAATTGTATACTTTGTAAAATTAAAGCTAATGAAATTTCCATTTGAATGATGTATTTATACCTAATTGATACCGTTTTCCAGATATGAGCCGCTGAATATTAAAATTTGTCAAAAAAGTGGTAGTGGTTAAGGTATCTCGTGAATATTCCTTTTGTAACTCCTTTTCTTGGCATTACAGTGAGAAAAAAAGTTGTAGACCAGAAAATTTTCTCCAAAAGCCTGTAGATATAATTTTGCTACTTTACCCAATCCAGTAATTGGTTAGAGTGTTTTGATGTTTGAGGATACGTTTCAACATTTCGCCAGTAAAATACATCTAGTATACCTAGTATACCCTATATTATTATAAATTAACTATTTTTGTAAGAAGTTGCAAAGTGAGCGGGTTTTTTGCATTAAATGTGATTGGACCACAAGCATAGCGTGCACAAATCAAAGGAGACGAGCGCGCTCGTCTTGGTGTTATTTGTGGAGTCATCCACAAATTCGGCATTCATATAGTTGACATTTTATTAAAATTTTGTATTGCGTCAGCCTACTGGGCCTTCAAGTTTGAATAAGTACAAGTTTACAGTTTATCAACAAAACATGTCTAACTTAATTTAATTGAGAAGTCGAAAAGCGTTTAGCATTACTTTAAATATGAAATTGGTCAAATAAGAACATAAAATCCATGCATTTTTCATTTGCAACTGGAGCTGCTCCGGAGTAACTCTAGTGGGTCACATGTGCGCTTTGCCGCCTACAAAAGAAGCCGGAATGTAACATTCCTACAGAGGGTATCTGCAGGTACAGCAATGATTGGGGAATGATTCCGTCCGAGCTGAAAGTTGCGGATCGATGAGAAAAGATGGTGGATATACCTGACGCCCGTCAAGACAGATGCCCCTTTGGCTCCAGACAGTGTCCTCAAAACACTCTTCTGTCATTGTACCACTGACATAAAACTGATGGCATCAATTTGACTTTTTCTGTTGATTTTTTAAATTCAGAACTAACATGATTCGCCGCATAGACCTGGAGACTTTGTCAGAAGGTAATTACAAATACAGGGTGGTCCATTTAACTTGAGACAGTCTAAAATCTCGAAAGCTGCGCGTTTTTGGAAAAAAAAATTCAAATTTCAACTTTTATTTGATTTTTTTTTCTCAAAACCGTGCCGGTTTCGAGATATTAGACTGTCTCAAGTTTGGACCACCTTGTATATGTAATTAAAAAATTAACGTCTTGAGTATTTTATGATTTGTAGATTTTAAAAAAAATCAATTTATCATGTTGTAGGTTTCAGAGTTCCACAAGACTGCAATTGACTGTTAAATTATTATGAAAGTCTCTGCATTCATTTGAATATAAAAAAGCCAGTATAATTTTTAAAATGTTTTTATTAATTTTTTTAAACAGTTTTCTTGCTCCTAAAAGTATAAAAGTACACAAAACATTTCATAATCTACAAATTTACAATCTATGGCTTATTCTAGTTCATTTTCCATCATGTCTTGTCCAGAAGCTCTCATTTTTCCGGCCCATCCCTGAGATTTCATGCCTTCACTTTCTCTCATCTGAGTGGCACCAACTGTTACATCAGTTTCTTCTTGGGATTGAGATGTTTTGCTCTTTTCAGTAACAGCAGCAGTACGCTCCTTCGAGAGTTCTTCCATTTTCTTTACTGTTTCTTCATCTTTGTCAGTATTCACATCAGAAGTAGTTTCTTTGGCATCTTCACCAGCATTCCTGTACGAGTGGTAGCTAGCAGGAGAGGAAGCAGTACCATAAGTTGCAGGTGCAGTGTAGCTGGAAGAGGCACCACCATAGCTGGCTGCAGGAGCTGGTGCACTGTAGCTAGGGGATGAAGCGCTATAACTGGCTGTTTGAGCTGGTGCACTGTAGCTAGAAGAAGAACCAGCATAACTGGCTGCTGGAGCTGGTGCACTGTAGCTAGAAGAAGAACCAGCATAACTGGCTGCTGGAGCTGGTGCACTGTAGCTAGAAGATGAACCAGCATAACTGGCTGCTGGAGCTGGTGCACTGTAGCTAGAAGATGAACCAGCATAACTGGCTGCTGGAGCTGGTGCACTGTAGCTAGAAGATGAACCAGCATAACTGGCTGCTGGAGCTGGTGCACTGTAGCTGGAAGAAGAACCAGCATAACTGGCTGCTGGAGCTGGTGCACTGTAGCTAGAAGATGAACCAGCATAACTTTCTGCTGGAGCTGGTGCACTGTAGCTAGAAGATGAACCAGCATAACTGGCCGCTGGAGCTGGTGCACTGTAGCTAGGAGATGAACCACCATAACTGGCTGTTGGAGCTGGTGCACTGTAGCTAGAAGATGAACCAGCATAACTGGCTGCTGGAGCTGGTGCACTGTAGCTAGAAGATCCTCCATAACTGGCTGCTGGAGCTGGTGCGCTGTAGCTAGAAGACGAACTACCATAACTGGTCGCTGGAGCTGGTGCACTGTAGCTTGAGGATCCACCATAACTGGCTGCTGGAGCTGGTGCACTGTAGCTGGAGGATGAACCACCATAATTGGCTGCTGGGGCTGGAGCACTGTAGCTAGATGTGGGTGCAGGTGCACTATAGCTAGTTGCTGGAGCTGGGGCACTGTAACTTTGTGCTGAAGCGCTGTAACTTGTGGCTGGAGCTTGGGCCTTGTAAGTTGCTGGGGGTGCACTGTAACTTGGAGCTGGGGCACTGTAGCTTGGAGCGGGGGCACTGTAGCTTGGAGCCGGAGCACTGTAGCTTGGAGCTGGAGCACTGTAGCTTGGAGCTGGAGCACTGTAGCTTGGAGCTGGGGCACTGTAGCTTGGAGCTGGGGCACTGTAACTTGGAGCTGGGGCGCTGTAGCTTGGAGCCGGGGCACTGTAGCTAGGAGCTGGAGCACTGTAGCTTGGAGCTGGGGCACTGTAACTTGGGGCTGGAGCACTGTAGCTTGGAGCTGGGGCACTGTAGCTTGGGGCTGGAGCACTGTAGCTTGGAGCTGGGGCACTGTAGCTTGGAGCTGGAGCACTGTAGCTTGGATCTGGGGCACTGTAGCTTGGAGCTGGGGCACTGTAGCTTGCAGCTGGGGCACTGTAGCTTGGAGCTGGGGCACTGTAGCTTGCAGCTGGGGCACTGTAGCTTGGAGCTTGGGCACTGTAGCTTGGAGCTGGGGCACTGTAGCTTTGAGTTGGGGCACTGTAGGTTGGAGCTGGGGCACTGTAGCTTGGAGCTGGAGCACTGTAGCTTGGAGCTGGGGCACTGTAGCTTGAAGCTGGGGCACTGTAGCTTGGAGCTGGAGCACTGTAGCTTGGATCTGGGGCACTGTAGCTTGGAGCTGGGGCGCTGTAGCTTGGAGCTGCTGGGGCGCTGTAGCTTGGAGCTGCTGGAGCGCTGTAGCTTGGAGCTGCTGGGGCGCTGTAGCTTGGAGCTGGGGCACTGTAGCTTGGAGCTGGGGCACTGTAGCTTGGAGCTGGGGCACTGTAACTTGCAGCTGGGGCACTGTAGCTTGGAGCTGGGGCACTGTAGCTTGCAGCTGGGGCACTGTAGCTTTGTGTTTGAGAATTGTAGCTTTGTGCTGGAGCACTGTAGGTTTGAGCTGGACCATTGTAACTTGAAGCTGGAGGGCTATAAGTTGGAGCTGGGGCACTATAACTCATTGGTACAGCAGAGCCATAGTTTGCACCCGAAGTGCTATAAGACGAAGATGAGCTAGACATCATTGGTGCGGAATAGGATGGAACTGGAGCTGCATATGAAGATTCATAAGTAATTAAGGGCTTGTATGCCGAAGATTGGGGGTATGAATAGGGCCTAGAATATGAATTAGAGGACCTGTACGCACCAGCTCCGCTACTATATCCAGCTCCTCCTACGGCATGTGCATATCCAGCCATTTGGGGTTGACAGGTCACAACAACTCCATGACCACCATAGCCGGAACCGCCTGAGAGACCACCATAGCCGGAACCGCCTGAGAGACCCCCATAAGCAGAACCACCTGATGAGCCACCTTGTACAATTCCGCCACCATATCCTGATCCGCCGGAGGCACCTCCATAACCAGAAGCACCGCCAAAGCCAGAACCGCCTGCGAATGCGCCATCATATCCAGAGCCGCCACCATAACCTCCGGCTGATCTCATCATTGATTCGGTTTCCCCTTCAACTTCTTCTTCGGATTCGGCCCCCATTCGCATCTCAGTAGCAGGGACGTCTTCTCGGTTTTCCTCACTTTCAGCAGCCCTGTAAGAAGAATAACTTGAACCACTATGTGTTGCAGAATATGGTTTAGAAGCTGGTGCTGCAGATACACTCTTGGAAGCGGCCTGATGGTATCCAGCAGCAGGAGCAGCAGAATATGAAGAAGGTGCACTCTGGTGATAAGTGGAAGCAGCAGGAGCAGCAGAATATGAAGAAGATGCACTCTGCTGATAAGTGGAAGCTGGAGCAGCAGCAGCATAGCTGTGGGATGGTGCTGGAGCTTCGTAGGATGGAGCCGCAGCAGAGTACGAAGCTTCGCTGATAGCTGGTGGGCAAGGCTGATAAGCTTTGGTGTGATCAATCGGCGATATCTCAACACAAAAAGTGGTCCTTGCTGATTTCTTGCTTCTTTTCTTGCCTTCGTCTGTAGTTTCTTCTTTATCATCTAGCAGAGTCTCGTCTTTTGTATCTTTTTCAATCTCCGCAGCCTTCGCTGTGGGAGTTTTGGGCTCGGAGTCGGGTTTCTTGATTTCGGCACATAGTGTCAAGGTGGCTAACCCTAAAACAAATAGGGTTGGAACAATCTTCATGTTATGTTGATTGTATGAAGAGTAATGATTTACTGATTGTCTAGCACACATTTTGGAGAATTTATACCTTGCAGTAAATTGCGAGCCTTGCATTTTTTTGCAGTGTCGTGAACCGGCGGTGGCCCAGTTTTGAAATTGAATTTTTACTGCGTAAGATATTTTTCAAATACAAACGATTTGAATAATTCAATTTATATAAATTTTGATAAAAATGATAATTTTTTTTTGGAATAGCTAATTTAATTTTTAAATTGTGACAATACCAATATTTCGATCTTAAGAAAAGCATCAGTTTTTAGGAAATTCCTCTTGTTTTAGCTTGATTAATTTTAGAGATATTCAGCCTAATTTTATTTCCTGAGAGTCTCTAAGGCGATTTATGAAAAAATTGTTGCCCAACTCCAAAGAATACTTTAGTCATGTGTCATAACTTAAGAAGCATTTTGATTTTTCTTGCTTATTCTTTTAGGATAAATAACGCTTCTGCGAAAGATTGAGTTGTTAATTAATCAGCCGTATATACAAGCAATAATTAAATTATGCCATTTAGGAATTACCTGGAAATTACTTGAAGTGGAAAGAAATTATTCAGAACCTCTGTGAAAGTTAAGCATTCATTTAAGAATAGTGCAAAATGGTTGGTGCAAGTTTCTCCTAATTGATTAAAATAAACTTTTATTTTGGTGTTTCCCTTAAATTTAGACATGGCTAGATAAGGTAAATAATGAATCATAGGCTGTGGTTTCCCCCAATTTATATACATCATGATTAAAAGAGTAATCATTGCATGTGGACAAAGTGGAAGATTTCTAAATAAATTTTGTGTGTCTGTATATAGTAGAACATACAATAATCCTTTTTTAACCCTTACCGGAAAGAAAATTGAATCAAATGTGCACCACGTTATTGATCACCAGCATCCTAAAGCCAGCAAAAATGACGAGATGTTAGTTAGGTCCTTGTTAGCAAACAGTAACCTCAGATTGTCCCACACAAAAACAATATCATATTGACATTGAAACATTCTAAGATTTTTGTTAACTAACAAGGACTTAACTAACGATTGATCTAGCCGCACTAGGAAGTATAGTATTTTTTAAGTTGGGGTTTTCCTCTCAAGATGACATAGAACTAACAAAAATATTCGAATTTTTCAAACAACATTTTCTCAAAAACTCAAAAATAAAGAAAATTAGTAATTTTAAATAATTTCGAAAATCAAATAGGTCCATTTGCTAAAACTTCATTTAATGCAGAAAAAAAGGGAAAATTCTGATATGAAATCTTGTTAGAATTTTACCTTTTGTTTGTGGCTGTGGGTTTTTGCACAGGGTTATATGTTTTTCCTAAATAGGGGTTTTTCCATTATCTTTCAGATTTTCAAAAATTTTTGTTAAAATTTAACCTTTTTTCATTGTAACAAATAAAGTTTCTGCACATGGAGTTTCTTGATTTTCGATATTATTTAAAATGAAAATGACCATATTATCTCCTTTGTGTTCGAAAAAATCTTATTTGAAAAATTCGTTTATTTTTTAAGTTCTAATGTGATCTTAAAAGGAAAATCCCTATTTAAAAAACACCCTGTATGAACGGGTGCTTCTCATCCTATACCTACCTACGCAAAAACTCAGGTAAAATTTTAAAAAAAATATGTTCTGGTTTATTTTCAAGAAAACTCAATAAGCAATTTATTAGAAATTTTGTAGAGATAGGTACTTTTTCATAATAAACCTGATGGAAATTACCTGATAACGAAAACCTAATTTCTTTTCACAAGGGTTGACAGTTCTAACAGCCAATTAAATTTTATTATTTTTGGTCATGTGACACAAATCACCCAATCATCTCAACATTATACTGGAAACAGCCCTAGGGTTGCTCTCACTCTATGACATTGCCTCGGACATTGCTGTCAAAAAAACTCTCTCCGAATAACCCTCGAACAGTAGTGATAAATGCTCAAAAATTTTATAACAACTTTCTCAAGCTTGTAGGCTTATAGGAAACTGTTTCCAAGCAACAAGCTTTCTAAATCTGTTATAAAATTTTTTCGGATAATTATCTATCAATGTTATTACTACTGGAAAAATACCTACAATGTTTCAAATAAATTACTCTAGAATTTTTCTTGAAAAGTTGGGGAACACCCTGTTGCTACATAGAAATAATTATTTGCATGAAACAAAAAATGGCAAATTGACTTCTTCAAGAACATAAGTGGGAAGAGGAAATATTGTTCTTGTAGATGATTGATAAAAATGTGATCGCTAGAAAAGTTCATTTTTTTATTCCGAAAAAGGGATACCTGCATTAGACAAAATGCATTTCGTATTCAGAAACCATGAAGATTTACCAGAAATAATTAGAAACAATCTATGGAGAACATTTAAAGAATTAAAGTTTGAGTGTGGTAGGGACAACAAAAAGTTATTCTCAAAAGAAAACGAGAAAGAAGTAGGTTCCTGGAAAATAAAAAAGCTATTTTGAAAAAAAAGTATTTATCATTTTTGAAATAGAGATTTGCTACGTAGGTACAGGATGTTTCCTGAAGTTGCAGCAAAAAATCAACTGATGATTCATGAGGAATTTTTATGAAGAAAAGATATAACACGCAACATTAGTCGAAAAATGCTTCCTAATTTAGCTACGTCCCCTCAAATGAGCCACCCTGAAGACGCGTTTACCTGAATCATTTCGAAAACGCCTATACTGGAATTATAAAATTTGGTATACTTCTGATGCTGAATCAGAACCTGAACTAAAAATTTGTCTAGGAGTTCAGTAACGTGCATCGATGTAGAAATTTGCAATTTTCTCAAAAATGATAGGCCCTATCGATATAAACCGCCAAGAGTATCTTTTTTAGGTAAAAATTCTTCAGGTATCGTGTTCTAAAATCAAAATGTAAAAAAATTACCATTAAAAGAAGGGGTTATATTAATTTTTACCTAGCCTATGGTACGCTTCTGATTCTAATTGAAATTTTACTAAAACGATGACATTTCAAAAATTTTTTTGTTGAGATTTTGTGTCCTAATGGTCCCTCATGATTCCTTGAACTCTATAAAATAAATTATTCCGAGATTTGGAGCCAGATTCTATGAAAAAAGGCATTCAGAAGATTTTGCTCCCGCCCAATACCCGCCGATATACTCAACGCGATTTTTTCTCGGAATCTATAAGTCCAATTGAGCTAAAATTTTCAGGGATTGTAGCCCGACAGTTGGATAAGAATCGCTGAAAATTTCAGCTTTCTATCTTTGATAGAACAAAGCTATGAGCTTTCAAAGTTTTCCAAAATCTAAATCATCAGGTAGCCTTGTTACTAAAACGATGAAATTTCAATTTTTTTTTTTGTTGAGATTTTGTGTCCTAAGGGTCCCTCGTGATCTCCTGAACTCCATAAACTAAATTATTCCGAGTTTTGGAGCCAGATTCTATGAAAAAAGGCACTCAGAAGATTTTGCTCCCGCCCAATACCCGCCGATTTCCTTAAAGCGATTTTTTCTCGGAATCTATAAGTCCAATTGAGCTAAATTTTTCAGGGATTGTAGCCAGTGGAATAAGAATCGCTGAAAATTTCAGCTTTCTATCTTTAATAGAAAAAAAGTTATGGTTATGACCTTTCAAAGTTTTCCAAAATCTAAATCATAATGAAATTTCAAAATTTTTTTTTGTTGAGATTTTGTGTCCTTATGGTCCCTCGTGATCTCCTGAACTTCATAAACTAAATTATTCCGAGATTTGAAGCCGGATTCTATGAAAAAAGGCACTCAGAAGATTTTGCTCCCGCCCAATACCCGCCGATTTCCTTAAAGCGATTTTTTCTCGGAATCTATAAGTCCAATTGAGCTAAAATTTTCAGGGATTGTAGCCCGCCAGTGGGATAAGAATCGCTGTAAATTTCAGCTTTTTAACTTCAATAGAAAAAAAGTTATGACCTTTCAAAGTTTTCCAAAATCTAAATCATAAGGTAGCTAGCTACCTTCTTATACAAGTTTTGTTCGAGCTACAAGAGCAGAGGCCAAAAATTAAAAAAAAAATTAGTTAATTTTTAGTGACGCAGTTTAAAACATTTCTTCCTATCGCATCAATCTTTTTCAATTATTCAGGTACCACGAAAATGTCAACAGTATCTACATAAAAAAATAATAGTGCTTCAAGTAAAAATTTTTCTACAATCTCAGGTTTTCACTAGAGGAGAACAGGGAAAATTACGTTTCGTGCATATTATCGCCAATTAATTCATTATGAAATTTTTGTTCAAGGGAATGCGCACAGTGATATAAATACAATACAAATTTTTGGTCTAACAATTTTTTTTGAACCAATTTTTTCTAGAGACTAGAGCGCCCAATGGGTAGAATTTTTCTTCGTTGTTTTTAAACTTAAACAGTTTTCTCCGATCTCTTACTTTGGGCAAAGTTTACCTTTGGGGCTCTACAACTTCACAATTAGGTATTCTATGATTTTTGTTTTTTGTTTACCAGGTTTCAACAAAACATGTAAATATTTTTCATGAATTTCAAGTTTTGACGCTTCTAGGGCAATAGTAGGAGAGCCAAAACAAGAGATTTCAGACAAATTTTAAAGGTAGGAATAGTTTATTCATGTCCAGGAACAACTACTTATTCCTGAACAAACTTACTTTCAAGAAATCAGAAAATGTGCTTATTTTACTTAATATTTTCGGGTATCATAGTATACTAAGTAAGCATGCTTTTAAAGTAAAAAAACCAGATTATACGAAAGAAAAACGTTTATTAAGAAGAAAAAAAAAATATAAAAACACAATAAATAAATAGCTAAAAATAAATTTTAAATTTAATTTCATGCAGCTAACTTGTCGACCATTTCGTCAACTACTTTGGTGATTTCAGGTTCATCTACTTTATCTTCAGGTTTCTTATTATTCTTTCTTCGTTTAGTTCTTTTGCTTTTCGTTTCTTCTTGTTTGATGTTATTAGATGGCGGTTCAGTTTCTTCTTGTTTGATGTTATCAGATAGCGGTTGTGTAGTCTCTGCTTGATTAGATAGTGACGTCAAAGGAATAGCGTCCAAATTTTCCGTTTTTATATCAGGTTGCCCATTTTTATCAGTACTAGGGCTGGAAGCCACTTTTT